CTACAATTATGTTATTAAATGGGGAGAAGCAGAGAAGAGGAATAACCTCTATCCCAGATCACTTTTTGTTCCTTTCCGACATAAAAATCTGTTTTAAACATGCATTTTTAAACATTAACATCTCTCATGTCGATGAATTTTGCATAATTACATAATGCAGTGTGCCCAGTGAAAAAGGTTAGGACTTTAAACGTTAATAGCTTTATTAGTTGTGCAGTAGATTTCAGAGTATAAAAATTGCATCTCAACACAGAAAACAAATTAGCTTTAATTTAAAATATGATGCAGATTTGTAGTGATCAGTAGATAAATTATATGTAAGACCACTAACATTTTTAATCTTGTATAATTTAAAACCTATTCAGTGATTCCTTTCATGTGTTTGAAAATTGTATTAGCCTTCATGATGACATTACTGCGATCTGTGGAAAAATGCAGCCCAAAATGCTTTAAAGAAAATTCTGAAAAAAAAAACCAAAACCCACACATGTTTTTGCAATTAATATTTTTACATTTCAAGGAGAAAAATGGACTAAAGCAGGTAGGATAATACCATGTATTCACTGTACTGTTTTATGATCCGAGCTTCTGACAGGTAAAGACCTTTTGTTGGATGACTAGCCCACCTGCCATGCTGGGAATGAAGGTATATGCTAGCATCTATCAGTAAAATCATGGTGTCTGATTTCTTTCTGTCCTCTCCCTTCTAATTCATCTCAGTAGTCTGAGATGGCCGGACTAATTAAGGGAATCGAGTTAGAAGCGAGGTAATGCAGTATTGCTTATGTACGCTAACCTGTTTTACGTTACTGCACAGGAAGCTGTGTTGGTTGCTTTGCTTGGCTGTATTGGTTGCCTGAATGTAGGCACTTAGTGACATTTGAGTGTCCTGACTGACCTGCTGCTGTTCCCCCAGGATGTGGATCATCTTTGCAGCCTGTGTCATTTCGGCTAGCCTTGGGCAGACATCTCAGATGCAGTCCAAGGGAGCTGAATTGAACCACTCCTGTCTCACGTGAAAGCAGAACAGGCAGAATTTGCTTGAACTGCTCTAACCCAGTTTATTGCAGTCATTTAACAATCCCTTCAGCCTCTTGGAAATAATGTCGGGAGATGGTCTGCACAGGTCACATGCCTAAGGACTAAGAATAGAAACACACGTGTTCTTCCGTGCTCACCTCCAGTGTCAGCATTAGCAACAAACCAGCTCTGACTGTTTCACCATCGTCTGTGACTCCCTGTCCAAGGCAGGGTACACGGTTATTTTGTTGTTGCAACTTTATTTACTGGGGTCCTAGCAATATGTGCAATACAGCAAGTTGAAAAGTGGAGAGGTGATAAGGCACTCGACGGTGTATGGGGGATATCCATCAGAGGACAGTGACTCACTGCTGGGCACTTTGTATGTATGGTTCTTGTCAAAGTGGCAAATAGCCAGACAAAGGGTAAAAATGGGCTGAGGACCTGTAGTCATGTACTGCATCTCAGCATGGAGCATGAAGTTATTTGCCATTGTTTTGGGCCTACCAGGGGTATTTCGAATGGAAGGTGTTCACCATTTCCAAGTATCTGCTACCTAGTCAGCTGAGCTTTCCCCACAATTCCTATCAGCGTGTAAGAATTAGCTGAAGCTCTGATTAAAGAGAAGATGTTTTGTTTTGCTCACAAAACCTCTTACCTTCAGTGAAGGGTAAGCAAACACTTAAGCTATTTCCTGAATAAGATTGCTGTCCTGGAGTGGAACCGAAACAACTGAATGTTACAATAGGGAGCCAGGAGTCATTGTCTTCATGTTCTTTTTCTATTTTTCTGCTCTTTTAGTTTAGTCTGCTCATTATGTTTTGCAAATCCTGTAAAGACCTGTTGGATCCATGGGAGGATGTATTACCAATTAGTGATCTTCTGTTTTGGAAGAGAGATTTGTTAGCAGGAAATTCTTGCAGCTCTCAGATGATCACCAGCTGTCCAAATGCACTTTGTAATTTAATTATGCAGGATAACAAAAAAATACAGATCTTTTCAAAGAATAATTTTCAGCAAGGATGAAAGTCTGTTGTTCAGATGGTGTTGCGGTCTTTGGGCTATGATTCCTCTCCTAAAAAGACTGAGCAATGGTTCATATCATTTAGGTACCAAGAGTTTGAGGCTCTTGGACAACATGGTTTCAGATGACACTGTCAGACCTAAAGTCAGTTTTTGACTAAATTTTTCATCCATGTTCACTTAAAAAACTGCCAAAAAATACTGTAGAGCAAGTAGGATGATAAAATACTTATCTTTAAATTTTTTCCATGTATTTTCTGTATCCATTACAGTTGGTAGCACCATGGCCAAATTATTTAAAATTCAGCTTTAATGCTTTAAGTTTTCTGTTTCAGAGTGCCTGCCCTCAGCTCCCTGTAGTCAGGCTGTCAGTGTCAAGCTACTGCTGCAGGCTACTATAAAACCTAGAAAAGTTTGTAAGAATTGGGTATTGTGGTTCTGTGAGGTTTTGGATAGAGCACATGCTAAACAAAAATGTGATTTTTAATTAATCTAACCAGTGCTTCCAGCTTTCCTTCAGAGCATCAGGCTATTTTTTCTCAATACATTTTGCTGAAGTCTTTTGCCAGTGAATTCATGTGAGCTGTGCTAGCTTCTGTACAAGAATTAACGAAGTTCAGCTGTAGTTAACTTTTCTCCATATTCAACTGTGACTGGAAAGAATACATGAGTGGAAGCAATATGTCTAAACGCCCAGCTTTATGTTAAAAGAATAGTATTAATATTTTAACATTCTGAAGGAGAAAGCAGTTATTAATATCACCCAAAGGCATTACTAAAATTGCTCTCTTTTTGGAATTCAAGATTACCATCTGTGTAGCATCAGTAACAGATGTTCTTTTCACCAGAAAAATGTACACGAAAGCAAGGACAATATGCTTGTGTAGGCTATTGAACATAAAGAGTGTTACAGAAGTAATGGAAGAACAGATAGCAAAGAAGACAATGTATGATGTTGTAAGGGGATCTGGAGAAAGTATTATGCTCTTAGCTAAACCAGAAACCTCAGTGGTGGAGGGTTTCTCATATGGATTCAGTGATAAAATAGTTCCAGTTTTAGGAAAAGTATGTAAGTCTCATCAGGATTTTGAATTTCACATTTTTCTTGCTTTTTGTTTGTTTGACTTTGCCTTAATTCATACAATTCCCATGAAATATCCATGATTTGTAAATAAAATTATTGGGGGAAAGGTCCTGAAAATGAATGAGTATAAAACTGAAAGCTGTTTTCAGAGTGTTTCAGACATTGTTTATTCTCATAGGTCTGTTAAATCAAAGTGCATGATACTACGTAACAAATTATAGTAGCTCCATTTTGGTTTGTCAGCTTTGTGCTGTGACATCTTTGATTTGCAATTAAGGTTCTCTTATTAAAGGCTGACATTGGCTTGCACAAGTTTTCATGATTTCAAAGTATTTCATTAACCATTTTTTCCCTCTCATTTCTTTTCAGCATGAATCTATTAATGCAGCTAACATTTTTTTAAACCTTTTTATCCTCTCCCTATGCTTTTCCAGGTTACAGAATGGCCAGTGGGAAACCAGGGCTTGCTGTATGATCGTAACTGGATGGTTGTAAACGAGAATGGAGTCTGCATGACTCAGAAGCAGGAGCCAAGGTTGTGTCTTGTAAATCCCTCTATTGATCTGAAGAAAAAGGTTATGGTCATCCAGGCAGAAGGTCAGTAACCAATATCCTTTTCTCCCCTTCATTATTCATCTCAAACTTCTAGGCAGACACACCTGCAAGCACTCACCAAACTACTGAATGCTGTGTATGTTTGCTGACTCTGGCAACAAATTCTGGTACCAGCTGTGGGCAGAGAAAGCCTAGGATGTAAAATGCCCAGTCCTGGGTAGTTTCCTAGCTTGCTTGTGGGATGGGCAGAGGGTACACAGTGACCCTCTGTGTGCAGTCATAAAGTGGATGCTGCTGGAAGGAGTAATGAATTGGCAGACATGGAAATTTACTGATCTCTCTGTATCATTTCTGGAGAAGAGAAGGCTCAGGGGAGACCTTATCACTCTCTATAACTACCTGAAAGGAGTTTGGAGAGAGGTGGGTGTTGGTCTCTTCTCTCAAGTTACAAGCAATAGGATAAGAACAAATGACCTCAGGTAGCACCAGGGGAGGTTTGGACTGGATATTAGAGAAAATTTCTTCACCCCAAGGTTTGTCAGGCACTGGAACGGGCTGCCCAGTGAAGTGGTTGAGCCACCATCCCTGGAGGTATTTAAAAGACGAGTTGATGTAGTGCTTAGGGACATGGTTTAGGGTAGATTTGGTAGTACTGGGTTGGTGGTTGGATTCGATGATCTTAAAGGTCTTTTCCAACCACAACAGTTCTATGATTCTATGAAGTCCATCAGCCTGTAGAGACTGTTATTGCTGCAAAGGTAAAGGAGTAGGAGTCTAACTTCAAACACCCTGGTCAAAGACCTTCCCATTGTGTAGCTCTCCTCCACCTTCAAGCTGTGGGACTAGAGGGTTAGAGTCTTCAGGGGAAATTAGTGTGCATTAGAATAACGACCAGATATTATTTAGCTCAGTTAAATACTTGCACCAGCAGGCAAATATTTTGTATGTTTGGGCTTCTCTGGATACATCAAAACCCTTTTTACTCTCTACTGAGGGGGAAAAAACCCAAAAATCAGTTACAGAAAGTATTAAGGAACACCCTTTGCTACTTGGAGGTGCAAATTATTTATTTTGCTAACAGTGCTGTTAGCACTGAATGCTGGAACAGGTTTTTTTTTACTCCACAAAAGTCATTATTGATGTCAAGTTTGGATGTGTCTTGAATGGTGTTCTTCATTTCCCTGGGGTCTAACATTAACTCACTCTGTATGTCTTAACCATTAATAATATATGTGTCCACATTTTTAGCAGCTAGAGCAAAACAAGGGAACCTATATTAGATATTTTACCCTTTATTAGAAATCTGTATGAGTGGATCTGTAACTATAGTCTCCTTTCTGTTTGTACATTACGGTGGTTGTCTTCTCCAGCTGTCTGAGCTCTCTCCATAAAATTAAGTATGACCAGTTGATTTCTTTTGTCTCAAATAAGTTTTTTTAATGTACATTTGGGTACTTCCACTAGTGTTGTGTGCTTGTGTGTGTGTGTGTGTTTCAGAGCCCAGACACAATCTAGTGTCTTCTTAGGGGTTCCAGACTGGCTCATTGGCAAAAATGCTGCTATCTTGCACTCTTTCTTTTGTAATCTTACTTTGAAAAGGTATTGTTATTTCATGTCACTTTTATGTGGAGCACCTTGGACCTCCAAGTTTTGTGGTACAGCTGCCTGTACAGCCTTCTCTCACAACTTCATATTTCTAGCAATTAATTTCCTTTCCATCCCTCTTCCTTTCTGCTGGTATTTTACTTGCAGATACAATGTGAAGTCTTGTCCAAACTTTCTCCCATTTATCCCTCATATTTTCAGAGTTTCAGCTCTGTTGGACCTTTTGATTGCATCATTCTCCTCTTCTAAGCATGTTCTTATTTTTTTTCCTTGCTAGTACCACATTGTTCAGACAAGTCCATATCCATTATTATATTTGCCTGTCAATAATACCTGCACTGACATACTTCAGGGAGTCAAGAAGTTTTCTCAGGCAGAAATGACAGTCAAGGAACCCATTTGTCACTGAGATTTACAGTCTCTTGCCGTAGTTAGTGCCAGGCTGAAATTCACCTTTAAATCCTACATTTTACTTCATGTCATTGTTGGAATTTTCACTGTCATTCACCTTCCTTCCTATGAAAGTGGGAGCCATTTCCATCCAGAAGTGATTGACCAGTTCTATGGATCACCTTTCCAGCCTGAAGTGATTGATCAGATCTCCACTGTGCTCCAACAGAAACACGGTTGACATTTATTTTTAGCCTACCTTGGTATAGCCAGTAAGTAAGGATGGAGCCATTTTATTCTTTGTATAATGACTCTAGATACCAATAAGCTCAGCCCAAAAGGTGGTCTTGGCCCCTTTTTTTCTAACAGCCCTGCTATTTTTCATTCTAGTAGTGTACTTGCAACATGTGGTATTTTTTAATGCTTGACAGTGAGATAATGGCTCTCATTTGCTCGGGGAGACTATTCCAGAGGTTACTGCTCATAAGATAGCACAGTGATGGGAATACATATGAACTGACAGGGTAAGATAGACCAGATATACTGGGACAACTTCCTACAGATTTTTATTCTGGTTTCTTTCCTCTTACCTGCAGTCTAAATGCACGATTGGTTTGTTGGCGTTAAATTTTTAATTTTTTCTTTTATCCCTTCACATACATGGGTCATTGTTATATCTCCCACTTAAATCCCCTCATGGCAGACAAATTGAATTTAATGTTGACTCTTTCCATGAAAACCCCATGTTAATCACTGTTGCTTTTGACAGCGCTCTCTCCAGCCTGTCAGTAGTTGGTTGCTAATGTAGGACCTGAAGCTGAACAGCACGTGTGTAGCTGGAGCAGCAGTCCGTGCGGTGAGGTGCGGTAGTCCTCTGATGAGCCAAGCTGGCTGTTGTGCGGTTCAGAGCCTTCACTGACCCACACCTGTGGCTGATGGTACTCCAGATGTGTAGCAATTAGCCTGTCAGCTACAGCCACCTCCAGGTCTCTTCCAGCTTTGTTGCTCTGCGAGTGTCTTTCTCCCACTGGATGCCTCCCAACCCGAACTGCCTTTCCTCAGCTACCACAGCGTGCAATTTTCCAAGAGGAGTTTTGTTTCCTACAACTCCCCCTCTCCTTCCCCTACCCTCATGCTCCCAGTGCAGTTCGTCTGTTCTTGGTGTGATGGGGATATTTCTGGTGATGAGGAGCGGGTGAGGGAAGTGACAGTGGTGAAAATAAAAAGAGAGGGGAAACCTTTGAGCTGAACCTTCACTGCAGCTCCTGCTCCGCTGAAGGTGAAAGCCCAGGAGCTCCCAGCTGACCAAGCTGCCCTCCTCCTCTGCCAGGAGGCTATAACCGCTCTGCTTTCTCTACCAGTTTCTCTGCTGTCATCTGTGCTTTTCTCATGGTGAGAGCAGGCTGTGGCAATGATCTCCATCTAGAGCGCACTTTGCTGTCTGGAGGTGTCCCTCTCCCATAGAGAGCCTAAAGCAACCATGCGGCTGGATTAGGTTCCTCTGGTAAGTGCCTAAAGCCCAGTGGGGCAAATCCCACGTAGCTGAATTACGCAGCATTCTTAAAGAACATTTTTTCCATTACACTCTTAGATTATGGTGAAGACTTTATCTGTGTCACTTTTAAAACATAATGAGTCTCTTCTCTCTCCCCCTCCAGGCACGTGCTTTCCTCTCGCTCTAGAACTTTTCATTAGTGGAAAATTTGTTTATGGCTATTTTATTTCAGTATGGTTTAATATTCTCTGTCGTCTCTGTCCAACAAAGTAAAACTGTCGGCATGATTTAGTGTGACAGTAACTACTTTATTACCTTTTGCTGAATCCTCCATGTGCTGAGACACCACTTTATGTTCTCTTTTTAACCCTCGTTCGTAGCGTGTCTCCGTAGCCCATCTGACAACCAGCCCTGGGTGGGCAGACCCGCAGTCTTACCGACCCGGCTGCGCGTTCCTGCCATCCCTGTGGGTAGCAAGGGCATCTGGCTGGGGCTCTAGACAAGGCCAACGCTGCTCAAAGGCTTAGGATCCTTCCCTGGCATGCCTGCAAAATCAGTTGTCTTGTATGGCACCTAGGGAGTTGCAGGTATTCCCCTGGTCCCGGAGGACAGGGGTGCTTGAGAGCAGAGGGAGAGGAAGGGCTTTTGCTTGGTCTCTGATTGGCTGCACTTTACTTCAGCAGAGGGAGAAAGATTTTAATTTTGAGAAACTGCTTTTCTGAATTTTGTCAGAATTATTTTCTTAGGCTGTGTGATGCTTAACAGGCATTTCCCACTCGTTTTGGCATGAAGTGTGTAACTAACCCTTGCTATCATAGGACCCACTTTGAGAAAGTCAGTGTAACTTTAAATAAGCCTCTGTGGAGAAAGACAACTTCTTGTTTCTTGACTGAAGCTGTTAACGGTTAGGCACCCAGCAACTTAAAGGTGGGCAGGAACAGGTGCCTTCATTTCTAGAGCCCGTATTACTTGTGTGGGAATCAAGGGAAATCTTGTCCTGCTCCATCAAATACACAGGGCAGAGATTACACAGGGCTTGTTCCTACCCGACGTGCAAGTAAGCCCAGTAGAATTTAGCTGAGAATACATTTCTGTAGGAGACTAACTTCTCTCTTTCTATTTTAGCTTACAATCAGCATTACTCTGGAAAGCTGAGCATCAGTTTGCCGCTGCACAGAGGGAGAAATTTTTAGTGTTGTGAAGGCCCTTTAAAATATTGGAGAGGAAAGATGCTAGCAAAACTGAGCAACTAATTACACTTTATAGAGTTTATTGTGCTTTCAAATAGTCATGTGTTACTGCCAATAAAAATAATGGGAATTAAGTACATACACTGACGAAAGAATATACATGAATAGTTTATATTTCAGTCTATTGAAATAGCAGACCTCTAATTTTTCTCACTGACTGAAAATAGGAGCTATAAAGACAAGAATAATTTTTTTTTGTATTAATACTATGAGCACATCTGTGAATTTTATTATCAAGCAAATGACCATGGAGAATGACAGCTTTTACATTTTAGTAACTGGCAATATTCTGCTTTATTTTTTTGCTTTAAGATAGAATAAAATTGTAATTAACAATGTTTAACTGACCTAAACATTACTGTAAAATGTGTACTGTTCAATAAAAATGTGATACACTTGCTGGTGTATAAATGCAGGGCTTTTTAAAGCCCTGAGATTCTATTTTAAGAAATTTTGTGAGTACGCCTGGCTTAGAAAGTATTTTTAAAAGATACAGCATCTAAGGATACATACAGGATGAAAACTTTCAAAGTCTTCTTTTCCAGATGGAATGATGCTAATGTTTAATTTTTCCAAAGTACAAGGACATGAGTTCTATTTTATAGGATGATAACTTTGGCTTCTGTTTCAGGTTGAATGCCCTTATTACTTACCTGGTTTATTTTCCTCAGTGACCCTAGTTTTTCCTCCTCTGTTTTTGCTTGTGAAGTATACTGACCTTGTTAGCTAAAAAAGGAGTAGACATCCTTCTGTATTGAAAACTTGCCTGGAACGGAGCTGATAGTTGGGATATAGTGTATCTGGATTACATTTCATTATTCTTCAGAAGAGAATAAAGCAATTTTCTTTCACCATGTCACAGAGCTGGTAGAGCTTGATTCTTATTTGTGCTACAGTAGTATAAAGAGGAAGTAATGAGTGAAATTGAAACATGCTGACATAAAGCTGGGGCACAGGAGCTCAGTCTTTGCTGGTTTATGTTGCAGTGTAAGGGAAGAGAGTTGGATCCATTGCAACCACACCATAAAACCCTCTGTTCGTCGTTTCAGATTATTGCTTTCAATGACCAGAAAATAGTACAGTTTTTCTTTTAGTCCTAGTAAGCCACAGTAGACTATCCCTCTCTTCGGCTCATCCTGTTCAAGATGAGAAAACTATGGAAGAAACTGCTGACATAGATCATCAGAATTTTCTTATCTGGTTTAAACTTAGAGATGGATAGATGGGAATAATTCTCTCATTAGTGGTTTCCATACATTTTATCTTTAAATTATTGTAGTTTTATGATATATCTCTTTCCTCAAACAGCCTGTGCTTATTTTTATTTCCCCCCTGCCCCCCACCCCATCTTTCACCTTTAATCTTTTATCTTTCTGATCACTCCATCCCACTACTCCAAAAACACCCAACGCAACAGTGATCAACCTCCTGTCCTGATTTGCTAGAGAGAGCACAACAGTGATAACGACATCCTTTTAACAGAAAACATTGCAGAGGCAGTAATTCTGTGCCAGTTTGGTTGCCCAAGATACACAGAGAATGATGTTACTCAAAGCTGAAATTGTATATTCTGTAATGTGGTTTGGGTACCGCGGTCATCTGCAGCCTTTGCTCTTTGCATTATCATTTGGAGCCACCTGCAGGCAGACAATATAATTTTAGCGAAAAGAAAGGATTTTTGTCACATGCTATTTGGGAAGCTGCTGTGAATGTGAATAGGTGCCAAAATAAGAACTCTTTTCATGACCCTATGTTTCTGCATAAATGTTGGGGTTTTTTTAATATGGTTTGCTCTCTGTCCACCTAGGCATGGACCCAATATCTGTATCACTAGAAGAAAATACTGGAAAAGAGGCTGTGATCTGTGAGAGTAAAGTCTGTTCACACAGGTGAGTGATGACAGAGAGGAATCAAAGCTGAAAATCACTGCAATGACACTCACAAGATGACTCGATGGACACACAGGGGCAGAAGTCCTTAAAAAAGAATGTGGGGTGGAAATCAATGAATGACTCGGTAGGCCAGGAGAAGACTGATTTAGGTATGTGATTTGGCATGCCTAGCATGTCTGGTAAAAAACACTAAAAAATAATAAAAATACAAAAGGGGGGAAGGGGCAGGAAGGATGGTACAAGAGAATGTGATGACTTGGCATTCACTTGAATAAGGGAGACCTTTTCTTAATTGCTGCAAGGATGAGAAAAGGGAAAGATGTTCCCAGTTACTTCCAAAATCCAACTGGGGGCCTCAGCAGGACTCTAGAATTTGGTCTGTTCATTTGACTGTAATGGTGCTGGAAACTGTGTCCATTTCATGCTGTGCAGATTCAAAATTGCTAGAACCCACTGAGGTTATAAAAAGCTTTACATATTTACAACCCTTTCTAATTTTGTTTTGACCACCCACGTTGATCAGTGTCCCCTTAACAGTCTCGGAAAGATCACAGGTGAGTATGTGAAATAACATTAACTCAAATCAAGAGACATACCACTTGAGTGAAATATAACGTGCATAAATTAATTTCCTATCAGTGAACTTAAGTGTTTATCCATCATATTTTCTAAGTACTTCCCAGTCTCATTAAGTTTTCTGAGTGGCAGTGTATGAAGTGCCTTCCTAAAGTACATTTGCATCATTTACTACATTTCTTTTCACCGAGTCTCTTGGTAAGTCCAACTGAAAGAGCCAGTTACAGATCTGTGTCTTCTTTTAATCAAGGCATACTAATTCTTTGTAACCCTCTACGTTTGCTTCTCTGAGGGTAATACATAAGCCAGCAGAAGACCTGGCCAATTTCCGCGTGGATCTTCTTCTTTTCTACTAGCTATTCAGATGATAAGAAAGATCTTTTTCTCAGAAGTGTATTTTCCTCAGGTAGTGGAATTCACCCAAGAGTCATTTGTTTTAACCATCTGTCCCACTTCCCGTAGTGTTGACTCATCCTTAGCCTCCCCACAGTTAGCCCATCTATTGCAGGCTGCAAAATAGCCTGTAACCTTCCTCTCTGCGTGCATGTAATTGGCTGCCATACTATTTGTTGTAGCTTGTCTTTCATGTCACTGACTGTGTAATCTTTAATGTATGAAATAGAAGATTTTCATAGGAAACTGCTTAGAGGTCTGAGGAGGAAGAAAAGGGTGGGATGACCATCAAGGGGGAGATGCAAGACAAATTGCTCAGAGCAGACTGCAATTAGCATATAAACAAAGCAGGAAGTAAGATAGAATGAGTGGACAACATTGATGAGGCTCCCAAACTGCTCAGAGATACAACAGCACTGATGCCAGGTTCCTGTGCTGCAGAAGGGGAGCCTCCTGGGCCAAAAAAAAAAAAAATGGAAATAGTAGCAAAACAGTGCTTTGCAGTAGGACAGGAGTTGATTTGTGGTCATCTGGGGTCTTTTCTGCTACGTGTCTGAGGTGAGCAGTGGGACCAAAAGATTTTGTTAAAAGGCTTTTATTTGAAGTAAACCCTTACTGAAGGCATTTTCCACTTACCGGAACTGCTTTCTGATGCTGTGATTTCATGCAGTTCTGTTGGCTTAGGTGGTTACTCTGAATTTGCACCGAGATAGCTGAGAAAAGCACATGATGTAGAATCTGCAAGCAGTCACGTGAGGAAGTTTAATTTCACAGCAGCCACGAAAGTTTAATGAGCCCAAGTTTCCCTTGTGAAGCAATTCATCAGTGTTAGCCTTCATCTCAGCAGGGCTTGTCCATCAGCACGTGCTGATCACATCAGAGGGACGTGCCTTTCTAGTGTAATAACTAACAGTGGACAGATGCGAGTAGAAGCTAGCGATGTTAAGGTTATTGATGTTGTAGAAGACCCTAAATGCTCAAGGTTAGTGCTCTACTGAAATAGGCAGGGACACAGCCTCCTCTTTTGACAGGCCACAATATCAAAGAGATTAAAGGAAGGGTATCGGGGTAGAAGAAAACAAAGGCGTAGTTAAAAGCAAGGTGAACTAAGCCTGTTGTGCGTAAATGTCTGTATTATATCCCTTGGGATCAATATTCAGACTTCAGATGTCCTTGTTTCTTGTCCTATAAATTACCTGGCTAGAGGGACCAGCTGTAAGGCATTGAAGCTAAATGACACAGTAAGAAGATGAGTGGAGAACTCAAGGCAAACAGCAAGTGAAATCTGAGAGAACTAGGTCCTCCTTTATAAATTGCCTGACATGTGCCAATTGAAACGTAATGCTGACAGATGTAAAGTAATACTCAACGAAAATAAACATAAGCAGAAAACGAGTGGAATTGAGCTACTACGGAAGGACTTTAAATGAGACCTTGAAGAGCTGATGGTACTTGCTCAGAAAATGGTCTGCCGATAAGGGAAAGCAATTTGAAAACACAGGAGTCTTGGAATACAAAAACTGCACAATGACATTTGATGAAATACTAAGAATGCTATGTGTCTCTAACTCAGCCGCTGTGACTCAAAATGGTAAGCAGACAAAAAAAGAGGGCAAAACGTTGATCCTGATGCATACAGTATTAAATCCCAGCAGTCTGATAGAGATAATTGGCTCAGGAGAGAATTTAAATACCCCTAGCACCTCTGTTTGTGTGGGAAAAAAATATTTGGGGAATTTGTTTCACCTGTACTGTTACATGGAAGATTCGTGCCTTCTCATTAGCAGCCTTCTCCCTAACAAAGCCTCAGCAAGGACACAAGAACTGCTCGGCTCAGACTATAGAATCTCATGTGGAGTCTCACCTTTTTGGCCCTTGTTTCTTGCCACAGTGCCTGAATCTCACAATATGAGAGTTTCATTTCCACTCTAGGACATGGCTGGCTTGATGCAGCTGTGGTTGGCATCAGTCCAGTCTCAGAGTGGGGAGAGGGATACAGAGCTGTACAATCAGAATTCAGAACAACTGCTGAAGAGATATCTGGTCACTGCAGGATTGTAAAACCTCTTTGATTTCACTTGTCCTGCCTTTCCACCTGTGTAACTCAGCTGAACACGCAAAGCATTTCACAAAGCCAAGGCACTTCTTTTCTCAGTCCTAGCGTTTAGCATCTTCTGCTGTGAGGAGCTGTTTTCTTATTTCACAGAGCAGATGGTCTCCATGCAGATCAGTTTCTTTGGCTGGATAGGACATAAAGGTGAGCATAGGACCACTGCTACCTATCTGTATTCCTCTTACCTGTTTATGACATTTAAATGTTAGGTGTTAGTCAGATCTCTTTTGTAGTCAATAAAGAGAGTTAAACACTCCCAGAGTGAGAGACATCCCATCACGACGTCTAATATGGACAGGAACTACTTACCTCTTTCCATTATCTGTGAGGGAAACCCAGATAACTAACATAATATTGAAGGTAAGATTATTCAGGGCTGAGGAGTCTAATGGCAGATAGAATCACTTCCCAGAGGTCTGATCTGTGCCCTTCCTGAAACAAGAGAGGTGATCCTTCTAGGATCCTTCTAGGATCACCTAGGTGAAAGTCCTTCTAGGAAAAATTACATCCAGGTAAAGAAAGCAAATCTGTTGCAGCCTTGCATAACTCACTAGACAATTTACTTGTAACAGAAAGCATCTTTAGATCAAGAGATACTTGGGGTCTGCTAGTTTTAACCTGTAGTGTCTGGACTAGCATGAATTAAATTAGGAAATGAACATCACTGTACCTGATGGGATCATTAAAGATTACACGCAGTGTGGCAATCTTAAATTCAGCTCAGATTCTCTTTGTTTTAGTAAAAGGTACAGCCCAGAGAATAACTTTTTCATAATATCATATTGTAATATTGTAATATGGGCTACCAGTAACTGTACTTCAGAGTCAGTGTCTTCAGTGTTACAGTTATTTAATCCTTTATTCCACAGTAATTTTCTGGATAAAACTAAATTAGATCTCATGAATATTAACTTCAAGACTAACAGTAAAGTTGAGGAACCTGGGAGATAAAATTATGCCAAACTTCACATCTCTGTTTTATCACTCAGCAGAGAATACAGATTTTGTATTGGAAGAATCAGAATAGGTATCTCTAATTCATCTTCATTTTTTAAAATTAACATTTGGGCAATCAAATTTTGCTAACTCCCTCTTTTCTTATAACAGGGTAAAAACATATGACTGTGGAGAAAGAATTGCTGACTGGTTCTCACTGTTTCTTGGTCGTCCATGTCGCTTGATAAGACAAAGTTCAGACACAAAAAACAAGTCGCATCAGAAAAATACAAAAGGTATGTTGTCATTCTTCAAAATATTTGTGATTCCTCACTTAGTAAACATCAGGCTCATGGGCTTCATAACAGCTATATAATTACGCAGATAAAGGGTGAAAGAGTCATTCAGTATTGATCTAGTGGGTTTGAAGGGTACATTTATACCCAAACTGTGTTTATGCTGCTCTTTTACTTGTTCCATTTGATGAAAATGTACTTATACACCAATCTGCTGGGTTTCTTTATCATCATTACCGTAATTTTGTCTGGAAACTCAATGATCATTTTGAAAAATTATCTTGAAAAAACTATAAGCAAAGAATTTATTCTTAGACTAAATTTCATTATAAAAAATAATCAAATGGAAAGAGCATCAAAAATCCATAGATATTGCTCTTGTAAATTGTTTTGCAAATTTGGTTAAATGTCAGCTTTCAGTTTCTAAATGCACTGCATCATCATCATTTACAGGTTTGAGTGGATTCTTGGAATCTTTCCTTAGTGTCTGGAGCCAAATGAATAATTTTTTAATGAGAATGAGTCAGAGGTCAAAGGAAAGATGAAGTGAAATTACTAGTATAATCTTCTTGATTTTTAGCAATCATTTTAGAATGTTGGATTCATACTTTTTAGGTCTGGCACCTGCTACAAACATCTCACTCTCTTTTGTGAATGAAGCACAATACCTCCTGATAAATGTAGCAAGCCTTCTGCAGCTGAAAGAACATATTTCTGCAAGGTAAGATCCTTCTGTCTCCAAATGCCTCCAGGCGGTCTTGGATTTCACAGTCTTGCCATAAGATACCAGTATAACTTTTTTATCTGGAAATTTAGAGATAGTTACTTTTCAATGTTCAACAAATATATAGGTTATAAACTGGTATAATTACTCAATCCTGTATGACTTCTGAAAATTTGGATTAAATGTTTGAACATAATCTTTCTGCCAGTCACCTTTAGGAAAACTTAAACAAAATTCTTATCAAATTATTTGGTGGCAGGAGACTATTGGGAACCAGCCAACTTCTGTTTCTGGGAAGAACAAGGATAATTAGGTTTTCTCAACATAAATAATCTGGCAGTTGAAAATGCAAAAACTTGCTACTTGTTGAACTATTTTGTTTCCTATGGGAAGGATTAAGATCTATAGCAAAAATTCACAAGAGAGAGATTTTAAAACTGCTTGCAGAACTGGATTAATTTTATTTCTTTACTGAATTTGCTTTTGCTTGTACAAAAGTGGGAAATACAAGCAGTAAGCCAGCCCACAGTTCAGAGATAAGGGAACCTATTACCAACTAAATTTTCACATGCTGACAACAGAAAGTTGCTGTTTCTTGAATATAAGTAGGACAGGCTCAAATTCCACAGAAAATCTGCCTTCAAGGCCTTCATCATAGCTGTGCATCTGTGCTGGTTTTTCCTGGGACAATTTTCTTCACACTATCTAGTACAGGGCTGTGTTTTGGATTTGGGCTGGAAACAATGTCGATAACACAGGGATGTTTTGGTTACTGCTGAGCAGTGCTGACACAGAGTCAAGGCCTTTTCTGACTCTCACACCTCCCCACCAGTGAGTGGGCTGGGGATGCACAGGAGGCTGGGAGGGGACACAGCCAGGACAGTGACCCCAGCTGACCAAAGGGATATTCCATACCACATGACATCATACTCAGCATATAAAGCTGGAGGAAGAAGGAAGGGGGGGACATTTGGAGTGATGGGGTTTGTCTTCCCAAGTAACCGTTGATTGGAGCCCTGCTTTCCTGGAGATGGCTCCATATTTGCCGGAAGGTCGCTGACCACCTGCCTGCCAATGGGAACTAGTGAATGATTACCTTGTGTTGCTTTGCTTGCATGCATGGAGGGGGTTTTTTTACCTATTATCTTTATCTCGTTTTGCCTCAACCCATGAGTTTTTCTTCCGATTCTCTTCCCCATCCCACCGGGGGAGAATGAGTGAGCAACTGTGTGCTGCGCAGTTGCTGGTTGGGGTTAAACCACAACAGCATCTCACATCCCTGGCATTTGTCTCTGAGCCCCCTTTTCCTGTCTCACCAAATTTCTCTGAGTCTGCTTGGGGTCATCTTCCCTGCTCTTCGTCACCCACCAAACATGCCCCCTGCAATGAAATTCCAGTTTTGAGTAGAGGATGAATACATATACATATATCTGTAGGAGGATACATATATAGCTTCAGGATTTAAAACCAGTGACTGAATGAAGCATCACTACAGACCGCTAGAGCTTGCATTGCCTGAGGGTTTTCTTTCTTTAGGAAAAGACAGTTGGGCAATGTTAGCCGATCATGGCAGAGCTCCTCAGGGAAAAATCCCTGGAAAAAGTCTGAATCCGTTCATATCTCAGCCTTTTTGACTACCCTTTCTTAGTGATAGTTAATGCCTTCTTTTGGGGCTTGACTGCCTCGGTTACATCTCCTTAGGAGAACAACACTTGCAGGCATCCCTCACTCTGAGTTTTTTCCATGGTGAGACCCAGTGAGGAACCTTCCAGACACGGGACCTGAGTGCCAAAAAGAGGAGTAAGGCATCAGAGGGAGCAGCAAGTGAGAATGAAGGGGGACAGGGACCTTTGGTAAAACATGCAGTGTCAGATAATCCACTGATTTTGCGCCTACTCTCTTCCAGTACAACTGGACTTGTAATCCTCTTTTCTTCAAAGGAAACTCCAGACGTGACTGAGGCTGCTGTGATGCCTGAGAAGCATCTTTCTTTCTAGCTCTGCAGCCCAAGCTGGGAAACTCCTCCCAATTTTGCCATGCAGTGCTTTCTCAGGGTGCTGGGGAAATGAATTCAGCATAGATATACAGCGTTATCATTTTGCACTGTTACTAAATCATGGTGTGGGAACTTTCCAAATACTGAACTGTGCAATGTACTTTCAAGAATCTGTATTTATGGGTCTTTATTTAATGTTTTTTCTTGTTTGGAAAGCATCATTTAGCTTCTTGGTATTTTTGTTTAAGAAAGAAATTCTTCCCTGTGCAGGTGGTGAGGCAGTGGAACAGGTAGCCCAGAGAAGCTGTGGATGCCCCATCCCTGGAAGTGTTCAAGACCAGGCTGGATGAGGCTTTGAGCAACCTGGTCTAGTGGAAGGTGTCCCTGCCCATGGCAGGGGGCTTGGAACTAGATGGTCTTTAAGGCCATCTTTCTTCTCAAAACCAAGTTCCAACCCAAACCGTTTTATGATTCTGTGATTTATGGAAACCTGCTAAGATTTATAAAACAATTTTAATCTTCATTTGAGTTTCAACAATTTCTCTTTGCATATTCTGTAAGTAAAAATTAATCTTTCTGTTTGCATTTGGCTCTGGAGAGGTGATCTGAAACAGAAACAGCAACTTCATTAAAAATTAGAATGCAGCATACTGTTGGAGACCTGTATGTATATGGAGACATCTGCCTCCCTGTTGTTGACATTAAAAGTCACCTCCATGAAAATCCCCATGGTCTGGCCTTATGCTCAGATGTTCTTGCTAGAAATACGTCTCTGAAGATGCAAATACTCATTTTCAAGTTTGCCTGTTAAATAGATATAATACATTCGGCATTACAGGGTCCACTACTGTGAGAAGTCCGAAGCTGGCAAAATACACTGATTTTTCACAACAGATCCTGGTTGAGATTTGCAGGATGAGGATGGCTGTCTCTCCGTCCAGCCGAGGCATGTTTTGGAGGGGCGCAGATGATGAGCATTTACTCAGATACATGCTGCCAAATAATTGGAAGCAGTTCTGAGGGCTGGGATAGGCACAGGAGAGGTAAGGTGTTTTGGAGGGGAGCCTGAGCAGGTTGAAGGTACAGACTAGAAGCAGAGGCAGCACGGTCTTGGAGGATCAGCAGCAAGGGATCAAACAGTAGAAACTGGAACTAGTTTTCAGCAGCTGGCGCAGAATGCTGCAGGCCCAGCTCTGAGGTTGGTGGGGCTGTGAATGCCCCCACTGCTACCGGCTGGAGTGGCAAGCACCGGTAGGTCACAAAATGCATTCAGCACTAGAGGCTACACAGCACCCAAGCTCCAAGAGCCCGCAGCACAGCTAGGGAGCACAACAGCACCACTCAACTTGTTCATGACCAACTGCTGCTTTCCTCCCTGTCTGTCTGAGCATCGGTCCGCATAGTTTACACTTTCTGTTGGCTCCTGTCTCCTGCAATCCTTACGAATTGTGTCTCAGCCATGGGATTGCTTGTGGGATCCCAAGGGAAAACCTGTAGACTTTCAGCTTCCCATCCCACTTTCTACCCCCAGGCTGCTGGAACACATGTGAGCAGCGAAGGCTCAGTGGAGCAGGGCTTGTGTGGTTTGACTGAAAGTCTGCACAGGCAGATTATCCTTACGCACATTTGTCTGCTACAGAAGATCATCCTTTATTTTAAATTTAAATAAAATAAAGTTCTTTTTTTTTCACCTAACAGGCCTCTTCTGCCAAGACTGCTTGATGTGAACAGTTTTCCTTGTGCTTTGATTTTCTATGTTTTTCTTAATTTTATTTAAAACATATTTTAAATGGTATGTCCTTGGGGTTTTTTTAAATACTTTTTTTCCAGGACTGCAACTTCTCTTTTCATTATTTACCCAGGTTTCTGCCTCTGCTATAAGGTGTCATATTCCAAAGTTGTCCCATCACAGCTGGTGGAGTATCAAAAGTTGTTCATGTCCATAATAGCTAAAGCAAAAAGAAATGCTCTTCCTATTAGCAGTGGTGCTGAGAAAACTCCCCTGAAAATTTTAGGATTGTCTTTTTTTCTGGTTCTCGTCAGGTTCTCCTTTAGGAGGGTGAAGAATGACAATTCAATAGTACAGCCAGATTTCTGATATTTGTATGCAGTCTGCTGCTCTGTCTGCCTCCTATGTGTTCTCCACGCTGACACAAATCTACACTCTGGCAGTTCAAATGCTTGTGAAGAGGTGGAGATGTCGCCACGCAGAGATTTTTTTTTTTTTCAAAACACCTATCATTTGGTGCAATCTGCTGCATCCCAAAGGCAAATAATAATAATATGAGGAATACATTCTCATAAAATGCCTTTACTGGCCTTTTTCACCTTCAGCGACTGCTGGGTTTGCCCCTTTTGCCACTGCAGCACATGCAGAGTAAGTTTTTATTTGCCTTCTTCTTAGAAGCATTTAACGAGTCAAATGGTTGCTAACTCAAAAGATTTTTTCCTTTGTTACCCTTAGCTTTCCATATGATAACTAATAAGGGATTTTCTTACATGCATCGTTCACAATCACCTGTCTGCGTGCTTTCATACCTACCTCACAGTTCCAGGTTACACTTCTGAAAAAGCCACCTAGAGGATTACAAATTGTCATCAAAGGGTTACAAATTATAGTTGAAGGACCACAAATTATAGTTAAATACCTTGTGCCATTTTCATAGCCCTTGTAATAAAACTTGGTCCAGGTTATTCTGGAGAAACATTTGCTGAATCATATTAACCACTAGGTTCTTGCAGCACAAATATCTAGTGCAGAACTAGTTAATAAACATTTTTTTTTTCTCTGTCAACTCTGTGGGATAGATTGGAAGAGCCATTGGAAATAGAAGAATTAATCCGCCGTTTCCGTGCCAACATTGTCATCAGTGCACCAGAGTCCTTTGAAGAAGAAGAGTGGGCTGAGATTTCAGTAGGTGCTCTGCAATTCCAGGTATGAATTCATCTCCCGTGTCCTAGTCTTAGTCTGTCAGAAAGTATTTTGATCCCTGGATACAGAGCAATTTTGCAAGGCTTTGACTGGAACATGTGTGCACAGTTTGCACAGATGAGATTTATGAAGTGTGTAAAAAACCCAAACATGCTGTGATCTGTGGCAAACATGCTTCAATATAATTGAGAAGTTTTGACAGATTTCTCCACACCGTTTTTTTTTTTAATTTCATAATTCATAAAATTTCCCACCTCTCTCCAACTGAGCGGAAAAATAATGACTGTTTTGAGGCACTTTGCAGCAAGTATTTAGCCAGCATGTCACAAGAGAATACTGGTTGCTGTTAAGCATAATTGTCCGAGTGTAACCTCAGATTGCTGCACATCAAGCAACTGACTGCTAAAAGACTGGACATGAATACAAGTGAATGATCACTGTTTATTGCCCTCTCAAAGTGCCTTATACACACGTTGTCTTAATCTCCATTCAAGACCTGTCTAAGTCTAGCCTGGTACAGGTTTTTTTGTATATTACACTTCCTGTCATATCTAACAACACAATGTGCTTTGTACTGTAAGGAAAATGCTGAAGAGTTAGACTTTGTTGGCAAATACATTAGGAAAAACTTCAACGAAGGATCCATGAAGAAGCTACACATGAAACCCAAGGGAATGATGCACATACGTATTACATGTTCTGTTGGATTCATCTGGTCCTTAGATATTAAATGTGTATTTGAAAATGCACTGCCTAGGATGTGACAGTTGCTTGCTCACTGTTTTCTCAGGGATGATAATGAAGGTGTGAAAAACACAAGTGCTAAGGTCAGATCTAGAATCTGTGATGGGTATCACTTGTATTTCTTTCTGGTCAGCATACTGTAAGAAATGGGGAGGCCATTTTTTCAGTCAGAGTGGAAATTATGACTTATCTGCTCTCTTCTTATATGTACTTTGATCAGTAAGCTGTAACATGAGTCACAGAATGTTGAGGAAAAATTTCTTTAGGAAGAAGATGAGGACAAAATCCTTGGAGTATAAAGCTTGTTGGAGGCTGGAGTTGCACTAGGGATCTCAGCTCAGGACTCTGTTGTGGAAGATACTGTATATAAAAAGTCATTCCTGTTTCTGTCATTGAAATACTTTAGGAATGCATGCTGAAAATAGCAAGGCTTATGCAACTTGCATTGTCTTTTCCAGTCTCTGCTAGGTCCTTATTCAGATACCGATGTGGCAACAGTAGAAATTATGTTAATGCTACTTGATGCCAGGAAAATGGTAGAAGAAGCTGTTGAACAAAGCAAAACAGGGAAAAATATTTCCTTCTCTATTTCCTTGTTCTTTTAATAAAATATTAAAGCTGTGGAAAATCATCTTCTGAAGATGCTGAGACAAATGTATGGTTTTGATGATTACACTGAAGAGTTGTACAAGCAGTTCTAGATGTACCTCAACTGAAATAGCACTTCACATCAGCATAGAAAAATGTTTGCAGTGTAAAAATTTCTACCCTATTTGAAATTTACGACACATTTTACAAAAGTGTATATGTATATAACATACAGCTTTGCTACAGTTAGGGTTGCAGTATTAAGGGAAACTGAAATATGTCTTCCTTCTTAATTTTAATGTTTTAAAAGGTAAGAAGAAATTCATTGCAGGGTGGTGGGTTTTTTTTTCCTTAAAAACACACCCTAGTGTATTCCTTTGATTATATAAACTTGTGAAAAATTCACATCTTGCACTCTGGCTATCTACAAGTGCTATACCTATAAGAAAGATTGGGGGATATTGTGTATTTCAGCTGCACTGAAATAATGTAAACCAAACCTTGGTAGTTTAACTCCAAGAAAATCCTCCTTGGGTTAAATCCTGAGGCACTAACTTCATTTTGTATTCCGTTGCCCTTTGGGCAAGTAGCCCTGCAAGCCCATAGATGAAGTGAAGCCATCAGGAAATACGAATATGTAAATGTTCTTGATTTCTCAGGTTCTGTCTCTGGGAAAGTTTTCCTGAAAAATGAAAAAGAAAAAGTGAATTAAAAAATCAGTGAGACCTTCACAAGTAGCCCCTTTGAAAATGTACCTACCTTAGGTGAACAGGCCTGACCTCTTACATAATTAACACATAAAAGAATCCAGGAAAAGTTGTGGAAGATATGGTTTTATGATATTATGATGGTCAGAAGCTTGCACTGTTCTGTGTTGCACTGCTTTGATGTACAGCTGTGAACCTTCTTTAACTGAAATTTCAGGTTGTGGGTCCGTGTAGCAGATGTCAAATAATCTGCATCGATCAACAGTCTGGGGAACGAAACAAAGAATTTCTGCAGTCTCTGTCTGTTACCAGAGGTAAAAAGGTCAGTACGGTACTCCAAAATAGCTGCATAGGAAGATGTAGTGACTTCATTGTGTGCATAGTGAAATATCTTCTGAGAGAATATTCACAATAAGGTGTTATGGTAATTGTCACCATTTGTTTTTTCAGTAAAAAGGGGATGCGCTTACAACCCAGATATGACATGGTTTATTTCCATAAAATGCTCAACACATTTTTTTTCAGGAAATTACTACGAATATGCATTATTTTTTACTGTGCTTGCTTTTATTCAGTATGTACTGTTTTACAGTGTGTTTATTTTGGTCTTTAAAAACACGAGCTGATGCGCTGATGTCATTCAAGCAGATGAATCTGCAGAAAAATCAGAAAGTGTTGGGAACGATACAGTTAGCTCGTAAGACTAAACTTTATTATTACCATGAGAAACTACTTAGCAGGAAAAACAGCAGATGTGAAGATAATCAAAGTGGAGAGTAATTGATTAAGAAAGTGACTGGAGAATAAGTGTGAAATACAGGCGTTCACTTGGAGACCTTCTGCTTCCTAAGGTTGTGTCACTTCTTGGAATTGGGAGTGCTCAGACAATGGCTAGACAGTTTGGCATCCCAAAAGCTTCACAAATCTCCTCATAAGTATTTATTTAGCTAAAAATCTTTACTCTAAATCCATTGCTTCCTGTTCCTTAAACTTCTGTTGTGAAAGCCCGTTAGCCAGCCAGGGCTCAGGAGCCTCGCCAATACCAGCCAAACACGGGCACAGCGCAGAGGCAGAGCAACAACAAAGAGGTTGACAATTATCTACCCAAACAATGCATAAACAAGTTACAAATAATGCGTTCTTTGTTTGGACAAAAAATAATAATAAATTGATTTGTTTCAGTGACTCATTAAGCAAACAAAGGGCTACATTTTCCATGAATGTTATCCTTGGTGAGCAGCTCCGCCGGCTCTGGGAGCCAGCCGTGTGGTGTGGAGTGAGGCAGGGAGAGAGGAGCAGGCAGGGGCCGTCTGTCTAGGCACAGCTGCCCGCTGACCTGAGATGACTTGGGGTTGCACAGCAGGCTCTGGCATCCAGATCCCCAAGGCACATGTGCCTTTGTGAGATGAGCTCTTGGCTGTGGTGGGTAGCCTGAGGACAAGAGCCCTCTCTAAGTAAGGGTGAGCCACAGCTGGAACAGCTGGGACACTTCAGAGGGCATCCTGGCACTCTGGGCAGGGATGCTGACCAGCTGCCACGTGGGCTGCGGTATGCGGAGGACTCTCTTTACCCATATGGGGTTTACTGGATTATGACAAATTCTCTGTGGAGGGAAAGCACTCTGTGCTCAAGGACCTTCTCAATTTGGCAACAAAACCTTACCCGGGACACAGATTCCCGGGAGAGGCAGAGCATCTTCTGCATGTTTCCTGCAGCAAAGGTCAGCTTCTCTGTCATTCTGATTAACTCAGCAATGCAAAGCCTTTCTTCAGACAAGCGCTCCTAGAACCGAGTAGCTCGTTCAAACTGCGAAGGGAGCAATCCAGCTTCCTGAGAACAGCCTGGCGCCAGACGAAGGGCGCACGGCAAGGCAAGGCGCTGCAAGGCACAGCGCTGCTATTCTCAGTGGGGAGTGCTCGGCTTCCCTCCGCTGCGCCACAGTATTCACGCTGCTGCAAACAACCGGGCCTTCAGCTTGCTTCATTTTTCCCGACCTTCAGCGCTGCTGGCAGATGGGATCTTGTGAGCGTGCACTGCTCTGCAAAACGCCAAGTTCTCGGGGTCAGCTTCCCAGCTGAAAGAGGGTTTGAGCTGGTGGTGTTGCCTGAACTGGCCTGAGAAGGCCTCAGAGCCCATCCCTCCTGCAAGTCATAGGTGATGGTAGGGTAGGGTGATGGTCAGCAGCTGGCTATGAGTGAGTGGCTCCTGAGGACTCTGGCACCTTCAGTGTGCTGAGCAGACCTCGCTGAGGACATTGATCCAAACCTTCCACAGTACACTGCGGGGAGAGAGAAAGAACATGGAGTTCATGTGACTCTGTTAAATTGCAGAGCTAATCCCTCGGTGACTCATGTCTCCAGCATGCGCCTTTCTGTTAAGGAGTCTTCTAACAGACCTCATTTTCTTTTTTTATCAGATACAGACTCAGTGAAGGAATTTAGCAGTGTTTGTTCCCAGCTGCCAATAATGCGATTCGAACGACAAAAAACAAATGCAGCAAAATAAGGTTTGAGCTAATTTCCCAATGCAAGGGGAACTGATATTTTTGAAAGGCTGTTGTGGTTGCTTGATTTCCAAAACGTTAAAGATCCTGCACATGTGAATGGAGAGCAAATCCTGAATGCTTAACAAGAGCGATAGATGTCAATATTTACCATTTTGTTTTGTTTTTCCAAGAACACCGAACTGGAAAAAACCATCGAACTTTATCAAACTGGTAGCCCAAATGACAGCACTGCCAATGAACTTCAGCAATGAGCTAAATAAAGTCAGGCTTGTAAGAGGCATTTTGATATTTATTTCTGAAATCATATTTTTCTCCATCCCTCTGAGACTCTGAGAACCTGATGAAGGCTTTGCGTAGATGAATTCCAGCTGAAAGACAGAACCAGCCACACAAGGAATTTGCACGTTTCCTGATAAATGCAAAGCAGGGTGCTGAAGCCTAGATACTTTTTATGAAACCTTTGATTACATTGTTTGAAATGAAATGCAAACACCTCTACAGAGAAAACTTCAGCTCTGCTGCCATCAGTTCTGAAGAAACACTCATTAAGGATTCCTACTGTAATTTTTGACTGAAAAGGAAAAAATGAGCTCTCGTTCTGTGACAGAGCTCTCTCTGTTGCTGCAGGAGACTACGACAGACTGGATAACTGCATCAAGCAAACAGCATAAAAATAGCCCCACACTGTTTCACATGAGTCACCACCTGATGCAAAACACACATAGACAGAAAGGAAAGGAGAGAACACCGAATTCTTGCCCGTGTTGTGCAGACGCAGTTTAACTCTCACGGTAGCGGAAGCCCTGTGAGTGGATTTGCAGCAGTGCTATAAACTGGGACTTGCTGTCAAGGTAGCAAAGGGAATTGCATTCCCCAGCATAAATGTATGGATAGCGGTACATCAAGGGAAATCCATTATGTTTGCACATGCCCTCATACACGAAAAGGCTCGTTGATGGTTTGTTGGGTTTTTTCTCCCCCAGGCTGTTGATCCTCCTTCATGTATCCTCCTCATTGTGCCTTGGGAAAGCTTCTTTCCCTGCAGAATTAGATGCCACGCCTTTGGATTGCTTACTGAAACTTTAGCAAGGATAGCAAATGACTTCTCTTATCTGATGCATCATTATCATCGTTTTCATAGTAATGCAGGACTTTACACTATGCAACGCTTTTCATCCAAAGATCTGGAACACTTGCAAACAGTGACTGATGTTATTATCAGACCTCTGAAATAATAAGGCTCTCTTTTCTCATTGGAAGCTGAACTGGAAAATGCATTTATTTAAGGCAGAGCAAAGGAAAATGAATTCTTAGGAAAATGTTCTGCTGTCCAGGTATTTTCAGCAGAACAAGATGAGGTTTTTGACACCAGGTTAAACACTTCCCTTTTTTCCAGTATGAAGAATCAGCATGTTGAAAGTGATCACTTCCATTCTCCTACTTTGTAAGGCTTTATTAAGTTTTGGTGAATCCAGAGCTAATAAAACATCCTTACATTAAAAGAAAAGAATATTCAGCTTTAATAATTGCATCTCCCAAACCTTTGCATAGGAGGGAGGTTATATTATTGTATGAATAAAATGAGCAGACATGAACAGGTGAATTTATCTATTGGGAGAAGGCAGCTGAGAGCTACATCCAGGAGCAAAAGCCAGAATTCATCCATCCAAAGCTGAGTTTTAGCATGCACTATCACTTATAGGCTTGTTACACATTCTAACAGGGCATTTTCCCTACCAAATGTTAGTCTGAATTAACTGATTGTTGGGGTGCTGTAGCTTGGAGGCATCTCAGCCTTTGTCAGATGTAGCACCTCAGGTTTCTATCTCCCAAAAGGAGATACTGCACCCAGGATATTTCTCTGTCTGTGAATATCTAAGCAGTGCATGCTACTAATGAACTTGAAACAACATTCAGGAATGACAGCATTTTATAGCTCCTCTTTTCTGTGAGCGTGATGACTATCACATGATTCACTGTTGGCAAGAAGTGTGTTTTATCTATTTCTCCCAGCAGTAAGTGTGCTTTTTACTAATCGAGGAGCTTTACATCTCTTGTCCCTGTTAAGTTTAAGAGTGATGGGAAGAGCCCCTACTGCCATCAAAAGACCGAGTGGATAAAGCCACAGAACTCACATCCAGCACACCCTGCCCTGTTCTTGGTGTGTTCTGGGGAGGTTATATGCAAAATAAAGTGCCCTTGAAGTCAGGATAAGGTAGCAACAACAGCGAGAGATTATGCAGTTCAGTGTAATAACTCTGCACGCTGTAATCGCTGCGTCTGAAAGCCTCATTTTTCAACAGTGAAATGTGAGAAAGGCCAATTTCTACATTTTACCTTTCTCTTGAAACAGAGCTGAAGTGGCAGGATACACAGCTTTTGTGGTTTCTTGGAGAGGGTGGGATACTGTTAGCAGCATTTGATGAGTCAATATTTGTAATTATTAAAAAAAAAAAGAAAGGAAATCTACTTAAAAGGTATTAAATCCACTTCTGGTAATCACAAGTTAAATTTTGATCTAAAGAACATTCATGAAAGAAGGAGGTCAGCAGTTCCAAGCAGGTATTAGTAGTACATTACCCATACCATCAGTATACCGTCACCTTGGAAACTCCATAGGCATCACCCCATCTCAGCACTGAAAAAAATACTATGAAACTTTAGATGCCCAGGAGTAGGGAAATACTAAGGACCAGTAGTAAATTGTATTTGAGAACTCATGAAGATTAGATGTGTTCACACATGCCTTTTCTTAAATAATTCGTAATGGTTTAAAGTGCTTTAAGAAAAAAAGCCTTGCTGAATGATTCACAACAGAAAAATTGATAAATTGAATTCTCCACAGTGAACAATCTGCCCAGATTTACTTTAGTCTTGTTTTAAGATAAATCAAGATGTCAATACAGAAAATATAAACTTCTCATGTATCAAATATGTTCATTTACATGGATGAGTTATAAAATTCCTTCCTGTGTGAAATGTGGTGTAGCATGGACAAATACTCATTTTACAATATCAGTTTTATGATTGCCTGATTTTTTAAACCCACAAAATTATGGCAACTGTCATTTTTGCACTAGTGTTTAGGAATTAAATCCAGGTTATTAACCACAGGCTATTAAGCACATCATTTATGCCAGTAGAGAAACAACAGCTTGTCAACAAATAAGAGAAAAGCAAGAACAGAAAAATAAGACTATGTACTTTAATATTTTAAACTAAGCAGTTACTAACTTAACATTTTAGCATCGTGGTTGATACAACACGGTCACTGTGGTAGAGGATTGGTATCTCACTGTGCTGCAATCGTTCCTCAGCATTAAGTACTAGAACACTGACCGCAGGGATCTACCCAGTGTCCACCGGTGTTGACTCCATTATGGTCACAGGTATCCCAAAAGTGTCATTAGTAAGATAGGCCTGATCAGGTCCAACTCATACCCTGTGCGTATGAAATGCTAGAGAGGCGAAGGAATAGCAGAAGTAGCCAAAAAACCTCTGCTTGGGAGCTGGTTTTCTTTGTATTGTTTAGGATTACAAATGAAACAGCAAGACCCAAATTCAGAGTCTGAGGCCATGTTTGGCTAGATCCCTGCTTTACCGCATCTCTCTTACCTGGGACTAGGTCTCAGCCTCACCTCTTGCTAATTCTTCAGGGATGAAAAGCTGTTTTGTGTTACCTCATGACTGTATCTTTATTTAATTATACAGTGCAGGAGCAGGAGAAAACACACTGCCTTCATATTTAGACTGTCAAAATCCCTTAAATCCAGCTAACACTATTTTTAAAAATGTATTGCAATTCCTTTTGCCTAGCCTATTTTTCTAAACCTCTGTAAATGTAATTCCCTCACTTTCATGATCATCAATCTTAACAATGGCAGTAAATGCAATTAGGAAATGGAGAAGGAAAATAGGATTTTGGTTTGAAATATATACTTCTTTTTTTTCCCCCAGAAATACCAAATGAAATTCATTTGCTTATTTATTTACTTTGCACTTAGAGTGACTGGTACATTTTGGCTGTAGCCTACCAAAACAAATTATTCTTATTGACACCTGCAAAAAAAGACACGGAAATTAGTATTGGGTTTCCAAGTTCCTCAGTGTGAAGAACAAAGACATTCTGAAATCTACAAATCAATTATCAATTTAACACGGTCTTCAGCATTCCTTCATTTCTTACTGTATATATTTCTTTAATCAACCGTTATCTAATATTTGGAAAACATTATCATGAGATTGCAAGCCTGTTTCTCGCGTATTTCTAAATTCTCCACTGTTGGAAAACAAACCCACAAAAACACACCAGTCCCTTACAGTGGCATTTCCAGATCACACCCAGCTGTTCACAGCTACAGCTGTAACATGCAACATGCTTTAGGTTAAGAGCACACATAAGAGCGCAGACCCTCACGTCAGGTTTTCGGTGCCTGCAGGAGTTGTATGGTCAGTGGGTGAAGTCATTGTTCTGCTTCCCTTTGCTTTATTATTCAGTATTACAACAATACGTATCTAAGCATTTCTAATATTTATGTAAGATGGCTTCACAGGTAATGACAGATAACAAGTGGTAGTGCTAATAAAACAAACTTTCTGAATATTTTCTGTAAAATAAACTAAAATATTCATAAAAACAAACGAAGGGGAATTCACGAAGGCTAGACAGAACAAAGTTCTGTTAACAAAGCGAATAATTCATGGTAGAAGATGCAAGACTTTACCTCGCTGTTTGAACTGAAGCAAAGAAATTTGACTCAACAGCACAGTTTCATACTGTTAAGCAGGTATTCTTTATTGCAGTGCTGGGGTAGCACTGGGGATTCTCCACCATCAGTGCTCCGCTAGCTTGGCACCATCACGCAGCTTAAGTGTCCATACATAGTACATATTCATTAGTCTCCCAGAAATCATTTACTTAGTAACACCTTTTCTTGAGATAATTATATTAAGATTACATCGGCTTTTTCTTGATCATTCCACTGTCTTTGCAGCCATCTATTATCCTTCGGATGGTAACACAGTCGCCTCTGGTGGTCATCCATTGGTCAGTGAGGAAGTAAGGAGTCTTCATTACTTGTTAAGTGCTTCTGTAGATAGATGCTTTTCAAGATCGCAAGTGATCTGGAAGTACAAAGGTGGCAACACTGGCCTATCAGTCTCCTGAACATCTGCTAGACTTTGGTTAGATACTATCTAAACATCCTATTTCTACAAAATGTGCTACCGGTTAAGGCTAATCCTGGGAGGATTTCACACTCAACATACAAGATTCAGCAGCTTCCCTTCAGAATATACTCGAGTTCTCGTGCTGCCTAGCTTTTATTTGTGACAATGCATTGTCTGTATTTGTCAAGAAGCCAGAACAGTCATTAAATGGCAAGACTGGGAGGGAGTGTAAATTACATACACTACGGAACTCATGATGAAATACTGTGTTATTTATCCACTTACTTAAGGTATTCTTCTTGAATAGCATGGGGTTAGCTTTTGCTTACCAGTCTATTACAATTAATTAGTTTGAAATGTTCTTAATTACACTGAGATACTAGATAGCTCCTTATTCTTTAAGCAATAATGTTGTTCTAAACATATCTGGGTTGTCAGATCCTCTACAGACCTGATTACTTCAACTCGAGTTGCACCTCAGTAAATATTTTGCTTTTTTTCAGATAAACTTTGGCATATACCTGATGAACCAGCCCTTGCGCTCGTCCTTTCCACATGTTTTATCGGTTGGGTCTCAAGTACTTCCAGTGCTGAAGGAGAATACAGAAATTCAGCCCCCGACATCCAGTGAAGAAAAATGCTCAGGATAGATTCTCTGGTGGAGAGGAGATTATATGGCACTCAAAGGGAAAAGTCAGTAGTCAGTTATTCAAAAACAAACAAAGAAAAAAAAGCTTCAGCTTCCACTCATTTGCTTCTGGTTTAAGTCTTTTAATTTTCTGTTTGCTGGAAATGTTACCAGATCGCAGAACCCTCAATAATTACAGCTCACCTACATGTTTTTGCTTGTGATCAGGTTACAGCAGTCATAACTCTATTTTGCTCAATTGCTTCAGGATGCAACAGGTTTGATCAAGTTTTGCTGGTGGATGACTCCCAAAACAAGCCCAACATCGTTGTCAGAAACCCACATCTCAGTGAAGGAAAGCAAACACAACAGTACACTACTTCCTTCCTTTGCTTTGTTAAAACCACAACTGGGAGAGAGGGTGCAGGATGGATATTATTTTTTTGGGTGGGAAGGGAAAAGTGGGAGAGTGGCATGAGAGTTGCAGCCCATTCAGTTTTTCAAAAAGGAACCTGAAGGTGGTGTGTAGACAGTCTGAAAGCACCAAAGAGGGAACCGTTACTGGGAAATCTGTGCCTCCCACTTCAGAAGTGGGGTGTGAGGATGCCAAAATGGCACAAGGATCAGTGAAGATTCAGTGTGCCGCTTGCAGAACACATTTCCCTGGGAAGCAATCGCATCCGTTTTACCTCCACTTCTTTCTCTCATTCCCATTTGCTGCTTTTCTGTCTGATTTATTTCAAGTGATGACTTCCCACATGCTTATTTCCTTACGTATTTGTGGATGTCGACACATTTTTTTCCAATTAGAGATTTTCCACCTAATACAGTCGTGTTTTCTCTACAAACTTTGTATGGAATGAAACGGTCTGTAATGGCCGCTTCAGGGAAAGCTTGAAAGTTTGGATGCTTCTCCATCCCTAACAGGTCAAAGAATTTTTTTTTTTCCTTACTCTTTGTGCATTCAATAATGTCCTTCTTAGGAGGCTTTTAAGTTCTTCTCTTTCCAAAATGAGAGTTGCTGACTTCTGAGAGCAAATGTCTGAAGCCTAGGACTTAGTCTGAAATATCAATTATTGTGAAAGTTAAAAAAAAAAAAAAAAGAACAAAGCCAGTCACACAGAGAAAAAAAAAAACCCCACACGGAAAGTGAATGTAATGGGAGACTGAACGCACTGAGGCCAGGTGTTCTGTGACCCCCAACATGTGTCCAGCCAGCTACAGGGAAATTTCGTGCTTCCAGGAAGTCCTTCTGGAAGAGGAAATTCTCTTAATGTGGCTGTTCTATTGCCATTTGGGACGTGAAATTTTGACCCCTTTAAACGCACCGTCAGAACACTCATCCAGCATGATTTAGGTCTTCCTTGGGGCAATTTTGGCTCAAACTGTGTGAAAGTGCTTGTGGCTGAAGCCATCCTGGAGTTGTTTGAGTATATCCCTGGGGGAGGGCAGGTGGCTTCCTGAATGAGTTGGTCAAAGAGTCATGCCGAAAGGGGGGCGGCTACAATGGGAAGAGGGAAGCGCATTGCCCAGTGTGCGGATCAGAATTCAAAGATGGGCTTTCTCTTTCTCTTCTCTTTTTTTTTTTTTTTTTTTTTTTTTGAAATGGTTTCATCCCCCTTTTTTTTTTTCGGTTCTTTTGAAGAACTGGTTTTACTCACTTCAGCTGGAACAGGCTCTTATTAGTCTCTCAGCAGAGCTTTGTAATGGAAACGAGAAGAGACGTTATCTGTTTCTTACAACCTGCCATAAAATACATGGAAAGAGAGAGGTGTTTCATATGTATGTAAACCGAGGATCAGTTTTGAGCGTTGCACCTTCCACTTCAGAGCCCAAGCACTGCTCCTTGATGTCTGCTTTGTAAAGAAGGGGGTTTATCAGTCTAATAGTCAATTATCTGATGTTGTAATGAGCAGGCTTTTTGGAATCTTGAAAAGCAGCTTCCTGGTATCGAAATCTCTTAACTGTTTCGCAGTTTGCCTTTCTGTTATGCAGCACGTTGTTTTGGTGGATAGGAAGCCAGCAGAGCTCTGGCAAATTTAATATGAAGAGACCTGCTGTATGCTGACCTTCAGGTGATCTCTGGTGCTTTGCTCTGTCCTCTTCACCTCACCGCTATGTCATTTGTTTAAAATGGCACAGAAGTTAGAAAAGGAAATTGAAAGCAAACCTCAGCAAGCTCTGTTTCACTTGTTATTGGATTCACTACAAAATAAGTCACTTCGGTACACAGTGGCTTGACAAATACTGTTTGTGTATGGCCTTCATGCAATGTACGATAACTAAGGGCGGAGGGATTTGAACTTTAAAAATGTCATGCTTGGTCATTTTGACCTATTATTTACAGGCAATTACACCTTCTCTCTGCTGTGGCTTAGTGATATTAGATCAAGAATAATTTTGTCATTTTACAGGGGTGATAAAAAAGATTTTCTCTGATGTATGAACATATTCATTAGTATATTCTGTGCATTTCCCAGAAGGAACATCCTTGTGCTACAGTGATAGGAAGTGTCACAATGCTTCAGATTGATGGAAGAGACATAAGGAGTCTTTCATCTCAACAAAGGATAATATTTCCCTTCTAGTAAGTGGAGTGTTCCCGCCAGTATTGATATGTCTTCCCATCAATGGAGACAAATTCTTCTCAGTGCCAATACCCTGTGGAATGTCTTGAAGTAGGAAGAGCCACTTTTAAATGACATGTGCTTTAAGTTTGTAGAAAGAACATCCCTCCCGTAATGTGAAAAAAATTCAAAGGAATGAGAAGCTTACTTAGCATAATGCAAACCCAGGTAATGCAGGAACAAAAAACGTATAAACACTTCAGAACGTTGTATCTATACATAGAAAGATTATGTGTTCTGTAAGGGGTGACCTCTCAATCTTCAGAGTATACAGAAAAAAGACCATTTCATATGAATGCAGCCTCCTTCATCAAAATACATTGCTGCAAAATTAAATCTTTGCACTAATTGCAGATATATGTTTACCTTCTATGGATAAGAAATGTACTTAATACAGTATTTCCAGAGTGATGTATATAGAAAGTCCTCTATATATTTGAAAACTAAGTCCATATTTCCTTACAATTAATTATTCAGACACATTCCATTTTCTGTGAGACTTAACTCCTCCTCAAATCTCAAGGAAAAATGGTGATTATTAGAAGCTCTAATAATAGCCAGGAGACTGAAATCACAGAAGACAAATCAGCATTTCTAGGAGAAGCCTCTGAACTCTGTGTTCTCTGATATGACTGAGCTATTTCAGATAGTTTATGATTTATATACTTTCAATGGCATCCTTCAAAATATGGTCAAAATTTTAGGTAACTCTTCTGTCAAAATCATACACAAATCAAAAGGAAGGACTGCATAAACATGTGATTGCTGTTCATAAATTGTAGAGATTGTGCATTTCCTCTTCAGTCTGGTTTTTAACTTTCTTGGAAATGAAACCAATAAAAGGTATATTGGGCTTGACGTGTCTGCTGGTGGTGGTTGCATTCTTGACCTTGGAGCTCATGAGATGCTAAGTCCTGCTTGCAGGCATTGCCGGGCTGACGGGGCAAGTATGTGGCTGAGGACTGAGGGGATGTCTCCCCGCTGCCGGGATTCACGGGTGAGGTGTTCCTCCAGCTGTTGCGCTAACGGCTCCGTCTGTCTCCTCAGCAGTCGGTTGCACGCTCAGCTCAGGCCCTGCACACAGCGCACTAATAGTCACCAGTTTCCTTTAAAATATGTCCAGAGGCAGTCCTGTGGGAGCCATCTCTCTTACCCAGAGGTTGGAGCTCTCACCAAGGGTGTTGGAGAAGCTTCATTTCTCTCTCCTTTGCCTGAAGGGATCTGGCACCATCTTGCTCCAGTGCCTTACCCCTCAGTCAGTAGGCGAGACGGGGGACTTTGACAGGACTGTGTGTGTGTGGGAATCACAGGGAAGGCTTGTCCCTCCCTCCTCATGAGGGTTACTTGGAAACGGTCTGTGATTCACTGGGCCAGAGAGAGAGGGACATGGACACAGTGAGGCAGGATCTGTGCGTGACTCCAAGCTGCTCATTGGATTCACTGAGGGCGGGAGGGGAGGAAGAGCACAACTCTGTAACCCAACAGAGGGTAGGTCATTCCTATGGAGGTGAAAGATGTGGGCACGTCCCTGTCTCTGATTATACAGCTGTCGTGAGGCAGCTCCTTGGACACACACAGACACGGCTCCCGGAGAAGGGAGGAGAAGGCTCCTCCTCTCCGCTGGGCATGTGAGGCTGTGGATTGCAAAGGCTTGTCTCCTTCCTTCAGCCACCAGCGTTCAAGCACAAGGTGGAACATCAGCAAGAACAGAGGATAACGCCCGAAGCGTGTTTTAGAGTAGGCCATTAGGGCAAACGTGGGTTTGGGTCCTCAAAAGCAGAAATGGAAATGAGCCCACGCTTCTGACTCCTTGCTAGGTGCGCCAGCCAAAAGGCCAGAGTGAAAAGGAAGAAATGTGGGAGGGAAAGAAAAGTGGCATCTCCTACAGTCAGAGCTTAAAAGAAAGTAATGATACACATGCCTCTGCCACCCACCTTGTAGGTTTCTTTAGGAAAGAAAGGACATAGCTGTCCTCAGGCCCATAAATGGATTCAGAGAACTCAAAATCATGGACAGAGAGGTGCCTCTTAAGGAAGGTGCCATTTAAGAGGCCTCTCTTGCCTTCCTTTCATGTCGACTAGCTTACTTGGCTGCACACCTTGTGTGATGGCAGCCACGGGTCCCTGCCCGTGGAACAGAAAATAGGCAGGTGCCCTGCATAAAGAGCCAAGTGACCCGCTCGGGACTGCGGAGAAGGAGAGGCGTTAGGGAGGTTTAACATGGGGCATCTTTGAGCGTCGCTGCCATGTGCAGAGACACATCAGAAACCTCTGTGCGATAATCCCAGAAATACGTGTCACAGAACAAGTTTGTCGTCTTTCTGCTGGCGTTACAAAGTCATCCTGGGAGGGTGATACTCAAGAACTGTGCTGCTGGGGGGAACAGGCCATGGTGA